AAGGCCGGTTTTTCTAGGTGGGACGAGCGTGTCTTAGCGATTTCGCTCCCTCGCTTTGTCCTTGTTGAAGTTGCGACTGAAAGAAAAGAGGTTCGATCGGGGGAGGGAATAAATGCGAGGTTCTTTTGGAGGCAAGACTGGAAGTAGCAGTATTTCTCGGACTAGAGAATGAACGAGAGAGACATTTTGGGATGAGGTAAGTGAGGTAGGGCGTTTCTCATACCGGAGATTGAGGATGGGCATTTCTTGGTCAAGGACTGGGGTAGGAGCTCTTCTTGAGTTAGGAGGAGAGTGTGATATATTTCATGGTCGGGGTTGTGAAGGAGGAGTGCTTTTGAGATGCTGAAAAGTAAGTGTGACGAAATGAGGGATGTTCTTGGGAAGCTCAGGGAGATCGAGCTGATCTAAGTGGATATCATTCGGGCAGGACGACAGGTGAGAGGCAGGAGAGGGGACAGGGCATAGGCTTGATGCGCTTCCTTCTTTGAGGCCTTATTTGAGTGCCTTCTATCCACCTATTTGTTATTTGTCCTGTTCCCACGGCATTTTGCGAGGGCAGCGGCGATATGCTAGGGTGCAAGGGCAGGATGTGTTGGTGTGCTTGTTGACTTATTTGAATTTTCGTTTGCTGAGTCTGTTTTGCTGTTATTTTGCTTGCAGATGGCACGAATCGCGTGCGCTGATTAATTAGCGACACATAAAAGCTCAAAAAACGCAATGGCGAACAAGAAGAGTGATGGGGAACGGAAGAAGATGAAGAAAAGGAAGAAGGAAAAAGCCACAGATGGTATGGTGGCAGGCACAAGCGCCGTTGAGCAGAATGGCCAGGAGCAACAACAATTTGACATAGAAGGCATGTGCTTTAGCAAGCATCTTCACTAAATCATTTCAAATTTATTTTTTTTTTTTGTTTTGACTACATTTTACGAATATTTTATTTAAAGTCATTCAAAATCACAGTCGTCATACTGACAAGGTGCAGCTATCTGGTGCTCAACAGGGATGTATACGACTTCATGGACCGAAACATTCTTCTTTAGCTGCTGAATTCTTTAATTTCACTAAAATATTCGCTTAAAACACTATCAGCTAACATTACTAATTTAAGGTTAAAAGAAAAATATAAAAAAGATGATGGAAAAATATAAGAAAGAATGATGGAAAAAAGAAAGAAAGGACGATGGAAAAATTGAGAAGTATTAAATTAGGTAAGAAATGTTTCGGTCCATTAAGTCGTATATACATTTCTTACCGTTACCAATAATTGGATGTTGTCAGAACGACGGCTGTGGTAACAATATAATTTAGTTAAGAGTAAGGACTAATTAAGATGAAAAGGATGTAAATCGGAAGAAATGAAATGAGTGGAAAAAATGGAAACTCTTAAAGAGTTTGGAGAAATGATAAGAATATAAAAACTATAATTCCGGCTGAGTAGTCGTTGGGAAAGATCCGTTTTCAGCAGTAGCAGTCCTTTTGATCCTGAGCTTCGTACCATAAATTGCTAGTGTTGAAAGCCATGACATGCATTTTTAGGCCTGTGCTTTAAGT